AGAAACTTCTGCTTTTAGCAAGATGTTAAACTAGTTACAGTCAGTTTGGGGAGTGTCCTCAGTTTCAGCGAGTGGTTTATTAGTAGGATAATAATTTATGACAACAAGTTATTAAGTTACCTATTAAATTATTATCAAGGCATTTATGCACATGCTATTGTTGTAAACCATGACGAACATTAGGAGGCCTACCTACTTTTGAGTTTACATAAAATAAGTACGTCATCATGTCAATGTCCTTTGCTATGGGAGCCTAAGATTTATCAAGATTGTAAGTAACCTTTTTTGATTGACTCTGTTTCTCTTTCTCTTCCAGGTAAGTTAATCATGTATTACTTCGCTACCGGGCGCCTCTCCGCTATGCACGAAGATACATCTAATGAAAATGTAAGTTGGTCAACACAATTGTGTAATGGTAGAGTACCTGTAACTTTGATAGGTGAATGTTAAAAACTCGAGATCGTGCCCAAGACCTAGATAATGTGATTTTAGAGACAAACATTAGATATTAAGTACCTACACCTGTCTAGTATTATATTCTCTCTGACCTGATGTACCTAGGTTGAGAACAGGCACACACCACCCACACGTTATGAAGGATGATGAATAAGAGTAATCATCAGTCAAGGATTGTAGACTTTACATTTTATAGAAAGCGTGATCGCTTAGAGAAGCGTTTAGAGGCGTAAAGAGAGACGCCCCTAAAAATACTTTTATAAATGAACTATACTCAACATCAAATAAACCGCACCTTCCGCGACGCGAACTTTAACGATTTTCTTCTGACACAATCATAGTACCCCAACAATATTGGTGTTATTTGAAAGCTCAATAAATATCCTTACAGAAAAACACATTTAATTTCTTAATAAATGATTAACATATACCATAAATGTGACTTGAAAAAATACCTCACTTTGGGCCCACCCATGGGATCAATGAGACCAATTTTTATGGTTATAAAACCAAATAATGATCTCACGTGTCCTCTTTAACAGATGGATAGCGATTAATCCCAACTTAACAGTTTTATAGCCATAAAAGTTGGCTCTAGCGTAACTACCTATTTTTTGAAGAAGTGACTCTGGATCCTTCTAAAGACACATTTTTGGGGTAAAAACCTTTCCTTTAATGAAATGAAGGTTAGAACTAGGCTTTTAAATGGTGCCAATATTGGTGGGAAGCAGGGATGCATACGTTTGAAAATGCTTGTCGCGGGAGGTGCGATTTATTTGATGTCGAGTGTAGCTTATGCCAGCGGCTTCACCACGTGGAATTTAGTTTGTCACAGATCGTCATAAATTATAGCCTATGTGTTATTCTGGGTTATTAGCATAAATACTGTAAAGTTTCATCAAAATCCGTTCATTAGTTTTTGCGTGAAAGAGTAACAAACATCCAGACATCCACACAAACTTTCGCAATTATAAGTATGATTAATTACAGACTGTCATCTATCTATAGCATATTAGACATTTTGTTGCAAAACAATTGGCCGTCTGCTCGTTTGCCTCCTGTCACATAAAAAAACAACTTAATATTATGCTGCCATATTATACTCGTAAATCGAGAGCTAGGTCTGAAATTAACCACTTTGTGTGAAAAATGCATGGCGTACCCACTTACTTGACGATACAACAGGAAGTCTTTGCCTGCCGAGCTACAAAGTTTTATTCTTCATTAGACACGACACTACAATCGTATTCGCGAGTGTTTTAGCGAAATGCCCAAGTTGAGGCACTCAACTCAGAACTTGAGGCTTTTATGACCGCAGAGTTGTGAGTTGAGATGTGAGTTTTGTGTTGTGCTGTGAGTGATGTTTGTGGGCCGCTTGTGAATAAAACTTGTACGAAGCTAACTTGGCAGAGTAATACAATAAGACAAGTTGAGGTTCCTAGTTAAAATGGGATGACGTAGTGTTTTAATCGAATTAATTACCTACAAAGTGGCAACAAATTAGCAAACGTACATAACAATAATAACTTAGGTATTTCTTTACAATCCAAATAATGATAAATTAATAAATGTATACCTAGGTAGGTACTAATCTCATCAAAGATGATAGATTCCCTCAATCTCCTTAGTTTCGATAAGCATAATAAATAATAAGTATTAGATATAGATGTACACGTAGCACAGTAAAGTGATAAACTTTACTCACACGCAGACTTGAGCACTGTTTTTATTATGAATGTTTGTTTCATTTGCTAAAATTGCACTTCGTTCGTTCGTTTCAGCCGAAAGACGTCCACTGCTGGACAAAGGCCTCCCCCAAGGATTTCCACAAAGACCGGTCCTGCGCCGCTTGCATCCAGGTACTTCCCGCGACCTTCACCAGATCGTCGGTCCACCTAGTGGGAGGCCTGCCCACGCTACGTCTTTAAAATTGCACTGTTTATATCTAATTACCTACCTACTTTAACTGCTTTAAACTAGAAAAAAATTGCCCAGCCAGTATCATAAATTATCCCGCCATTAAAAAGTTTACATTTTGTTATTTTTTTTAATTTGTTACTAGTGAATAAATACTACCAATTTAGTAGAATAATTATTTTTTGTGAATATTTACGTTCATCATAATAATATCAATGACATCGCACCACTATTGTAGAAAATATGAAATTCTTAAGCCAATGTTATAACGTTGTCCCTGTCCTTCATTCTCAACAATCTCGTATCATGTAAAAGAGTAATAACCTTACCCAAGTACTTTTACGTGAGCTACAAACTTAAGAAAGCATCGCACAGATTAAGAGTGGCTACGAGTACAGTTTTATTACGGCCATTCTACGAGCCGCCGTAAATCTAATGGGAACTGCAACCCAACAAATTGTGGTAGTAACGACACCATTATTTATAGCCGGAACCCATGTCGGTCGGTTGCTGCGGGCTCGTCAGGTGCTAGTCATCAGGGAGTGTTAAGGGCTCAATAAATATCAAGATGGTTTTACCCTTCAATTTGCAAGGGTACCCACTTCATTTGTATTCATACTTCTTCTTAAGTTTGTCCGTACCTACTCACTCTTATGGTTACATCATGCATGGTAAAAACGAACAAAAATGATGAGTCCTACTTATCTGTTCATCATTTTCAATAACAACCGCTGTAACGCTAAGGGTGAGGTACACACCACACTTAATAAATAATAGGTACCTACTACGTGGGACATTTATGAGTTTTATACCTATTTTATTTTATTTATTTTAATTTTTATGAATATTAATAAACATAAAGAACTATTAGATAAACAACTTCGTGCCTACCTAATTAACAAACTATGTACATACTTAATACTATTGTAAGGCCAGCAATAGATATGTTACGGTCAAAGTGATAAATGTGAAAATTATGAATAATCGCCGGTTATTATGAATAATTACCGCATGATTTGGTAAATTTGATTAATATGAGATCATTTATGTGTGTATAAAACTAAATAGGCGGCTTAGGGGCCGCACCTTAACCTATTTTTCACTTTAAATCAAAACATTACGTTATGGGCATCATGGAAAAGTAATATTATGCAAGAAACATTCCAAACTCATTATGCCAAATTATATTAATATATGATATCAAAACATTCAAAAATTTTGGCTGCACAAGAGCACGTACACAAGATGTTGTTCTCTTTTATGATATTTGTTAGTACTAAGGTTGAACGATTAAATAATCACTGTTAAATGTTATTAATTTATCACTTTTACCGCGACTGTCGGTAATTATTCATAATAACCGGTTATTATTCATTATTTTCAATTTATCACATTAACCGTAACAGATACACAAACAATGATTGAATTTTCAATAAAATCAGGTCCCATCTGAAAATCTAAATCATGTTGAATTATCTATCTGTTTACTTTTCGTGCGAACATCCATTATACAAAATAATCACGTTCCTTACCCGTCCGATTGATGCAGACCGACGTTCACTCACTCCGCTCGATGGAATCCATTCACTTGTACATTCGCTCAATCATTCAGCAAACGCGAGTGGATGCATGGCTTTATGCAGAATTATTGAGTTTTCGAATTCAAATAGCGCCAGCGACGGAATAAAAATCCATTTGCGCAAATATTTATTCATACTTTACTCGTTTGGGAGACGGGTAATAAGTTTACGTGCTTTCCATCTACGATTACTTGCAATGTTATTGAATAACTCCATCCATTCTCGTTCGAGCTGTTTGCAAATGTTTGACAAAATATTTTCTTTATCCGCTTTTCATGTGGCAGAAACCGGGACTGTGTTAGCTCTTGCCGGTTCTTATTTGCATGGCAAATGCGTGTATCGAATGTCTACAAACTTCGTTAGAATGCTTATTTTAGACATTTTATTTTCGATTTCTCATTGTCAGGACACGAATTATAATGATCGTGATAAAGATTTTTTTATGCCATGATTTATCATACTTCCTTACATTATAAAACTTGACTATAGAAGATAAAGGCACAAGGTCATAAGAGGATAATAACACCCTGATCTAGATTAAAATGTACCTATAATTAAGAAGTTATAATTAAAAATCTAAAATAAATAAACTAGATTATTGCACTTTTTTTTGTAAAATTCTACTTATTACAACTACATACATCATATGGTGCCAAAGTGTTAACCTTGAAGTGTGGTTTCTGTAATTTCTAACTTATTAGATAGATAGATAGATAGAAAGTATTTATTTGCCTCAAAACAAAAAAAATGTTGGTGATTTGCACTCCGGGGCCCGGGCACTAGTTATGAAAACCTTGCTTAAATGCGCTATAATCCAGGCATACAAATGCTTATGTAAGACGTCATCCTTGAGCGCACTTTTCTTATTACATTAATTTTTAAATTATTAGTGCTATTTAATTTCGCTTTCATTTTTATTTAATTAAATATGTACTAAAAAATCATGATACGTTTTTATGTATTCCCAGTTCATAAAATAATGGTAGTAGTTTTTTTCTACTAAAAGTTGATATTTTCACGGAGCGCGCGGTACAACAATGGCAACACTTCAACTGTCACTGTCAATTTTCACCCCCGCGATGCGGTAGCGTCGGCGCGTGTGTATTTGTTTCAATAAAAATTTACTGTAATTTGTGTTTTGCAATTTGTGAAACTTCGTGTGATAAGTGGTTTTAATTGTGGAAACATGTTGGTGTTGTTTGAAACCCCAGCGGGGTACGCTATATTCAAGGTAAGCCATAACACGTGTTGATTATAACCTATCTTGTATGTGTGATAATTTTCTCAAAATTACGTAAAGAATTCAGTTTCTATAAACATTATTCACCAATTTACTTACAACTACAGTTCTGATGTTGCATTTTCATTGTTATATCACATAACAAGCATTTTATTTTATTCATGACAAGCTATTTACTCCAAACGCAAGGTTACCAAATGAAACTATAATACCACGTTTATTTCACTAATTACGGTGTGTTTAATAATTACCCAAAAAGTGTACTCAAATTTGATTTTACGTCCTTCAGACAATTAAATTATAAATCAGTAATACTCTTTGCATAAAATAGTGAACAGTGTGATAAAAAGCGCATAAATAATGGGTTTTGTTTATTTTTAGTTGTTGGATGAGTCAAAACTATCACAAATAGATGATTTGTATCAAGAATTCAATTCCCCAGAAGGAGCATCATCTGTGTAAGTATCATTGTTTATTACTAGTAAAATACAATAACAATACACTTTTAAAATAATGCTTTACTATATTGAGAATATAATGATTAAAGTGCCATGTTTCTAAAAATACCATTGTTGTAGTATTATTTATCAGTAACTAACTTTGGTTTTTTGTTATAATCAGTAACTATTGAGGTCAATTTATATTTGTAATGTTCTACGTTGACACATTTTTCTAATAATGATTTTTGTTCACAGTGTAAAGCTAAAGAACTTTATCAAGTTCGAAGACACAACAGAAGCCCTCGCAGCTACCACTGCAGCAATTGAAGGCAAAATCTCCAAACCATTGAAGAAAGCCCTCAAAAAGTATGTCAGCAAGGAAATACAAGACCAGCTGCTCGTCGGTGATGCCAAACTCGGAAGTGCCATAAGAGAAAAGTTTGATTTGCAATGTGTTTCCAACTCTAACGTTCAAGAGCTGCTGAGATGTATCCGTTCACAAATGGACAGCCTCCTCTCGGGCTTGCCAAAGAAAGAGATGACCGCCATGGCTTTGGGTCTCGCTCACTCACTCTCCCGATACAAGTTGAAGTTTTCACCAGACAAAATAGACACAATGATCGTTCAAGCTCAGTGTCTTCTGGATGATTTAGATAAGGAGTTGAATAACTACATCATGAGATGCCGAGAGTGGTACGGCTGGCACTTCCCTGAACTAGGAAAAATTATTACCGACAACACTTTATTTGTAAAAATAGTCAAATTAATTGGTACACGAGACAACGCCTCCAAGACGGATTTATCTGATATTTTGCCTGAAGATCTGGAAGAGAAAGTCAAAGAAGCTGCTGAGATATCCATGGGCACAGAGATCTCGGATGACGATATCATGAACATCCAGAATTTATGTGATGAAATAATTAACATAACTGATTATAGGACACATTTAACAGACTACCTCAAAGCTAGAATGATGGCTATGGCTCCGAACCTAACGGTTTTGATCGGTGAACATATTGGTGCTAGGTTAATAGCTCATGCAGGATCATTGATGAATTTGGCAAAGCACCCAGCGTCAACTATACAGATTTTTGGAGCAGAGAAAGCGTTGTTCCGTGCGCTCAAGACGAAGAAAGACACACCGAAGTATGGTTTGATTTACCATGCACAGTTAGTAGGGCAATCTAGTGCTAAGAATAAAGGGAAGATGTCAAGAATGTTAGCGGCCAAGGCAGCGCTGGCAACGAGGGTGGATGCGTTTGGAGAGGAGGTGTCGTTTGAGCTGGGGGCCGAGCACAAGGTCAAGCTGGAGAACAGGCTGCGGCTGCTGGAAGAAGGCAACCTGAGGAGAATCAGTGGCACAGGCAAAGCAAAGGCCAAGTTTGAGAAATATCACAGTAAGAGGTGAGTAAAAAAAAACTTCACTTATTCCCATAAAACGTAGGTACTTTCACTTTCCTTTATTGTTTGACTGGTGTTAATTTGAGCCACCATGTTCATCTGACAATTTTATTAGTCTGATGACATGAAGTTGACATACTTTCTGAAGTATGAAATAACTCAAAACCTATATTTATGTACTTCAATACAAGATAACTGTTTTTGGTCTTAAATTAATCCTATAAAGAAAATCTCAAAATTAAAGTTGCCAAAATTAAAACTGTATGTAGTAGACACTCAAACTTTAATATGAGTTCTAAACTCAATAATATCAAGCCTGCAATTTAACCAATAGCATTTTAACATTTTTGAGATCCAGAATAAGGACATAACTGTTCTCTCTTGGTCAATTTAGTCTGTACCATAGCCTGACTGTATGCCTATTGCCTTGTTTTTAACAGTATACTATAGCCCTAAGTGTCGCAAACTCCTGGTCAATTCATCTACGACTCTATGCCGGTTGTATTAAGGCTTACTTTGTTTCCCAGTGAGGTGAGTCAGTACCCGACCGGCGCCGACAGCACGCTCGGCAAGGCGGTGAAACGCGAGCGCGACGACGGCGTCGACGAGGAGGACGGCGTCGCACCTAAGAAGATCAAGCTGGAAGATGGCGCTAATGATGTGAGTTACATTGATTTTTGATTGATTTTTAACTGACACAAATTACTAATAGTCCCGTTAGCTCCTCGTACTAAGCTAAATATGCTTGTGTCACGAGTGAGCTCACCACAATTATTGTCGAGCGGCGGCAGGGACCGAACTCGCGTTCCCCGGATCACGACTCGGCCAGTCCGACCCCTTCACCGTTCGGCTATCGTGGCTACATTCGTTTATTATGCAGCAGCATAATGTAGTATGAAAACTATTGTAAAACAAGCTTCTGCCCAAGTTTTGCCAGTGTAAAATTAAAGTCACAGATCATTATAAATTATAGCCTAATATGTTATTCGGGTGTATAAACAATAATACTTTAAAGTTTCATCAATATCCGTTCAGTTTTTGCGTGTAAGAGTAACAAACATACATCCTTACAAACTTTAACATTTATAATAATTAGTAGGACAAACATTCATCAAAAACAAAGAGTTTTATCTGTGTTAAGTTTCATCAAAATCTGTTCAGTAGATTACGGCTTACGGCGGAAGAATAACAATATAATACTTACATTTCTAAATTTCAATAGATTTATCTTTATTTGAAAACTCTTTGATTTGAAGCCCAAATAGTTATTGTAGTTTCTCTTTGAAATGAGTTATTTATGTGTTTCAAATAAAGAAATAAACTAAATTAACAAAAATGATGTTACGCTGCAAAAAAATCTATATATATAAAAGAAAGTCGTGTTAGTTACTTCGCTTATAACTCAAGAACGGCTGAACCGATTTAGCTGAAAATTGTCAGGGAGGTAGTTTAGAGCCAGGAGAAGGACATAGGATACTTTTTATCCCGTTCGAAATAAAAAAAAAAGTCTGCTTATTTATTGCCATTAAGGCGGAACAAAGTTCGCCGGGTCAGCTAGTGTATTATAAAACTAACTCAATGTTCCTCTCTTTGGCCCAGGTGTCACCTAAGAAGAAGATTAAGAAAGAAATCAAAGAAGAACCAATGGAAGACAATGAGAACGGCCTAGAGACCTCAGCAGCGCCTTCTTCTGAAAAGAAAAAGAAAAAAAAGAAAAAATCCGAGTCCAACGACGCTAATGAATCGCTGGTCGAACCCAAATCCGAGCCCGAGGAGCCCAAAAGCGATAAGAAAAAGAAGAAGAAAAAACACACACAAGACGAGTGATACTGCTAGTCAAATTACAACGGCATTGATCAATACGAAATATGAAGGATTATTTCTATTTTTTTACAATATTTTGCCCTAAGTAGGTACACCTTTTATGAGTTGCAATCATACAGGGTGGAAACGGTAAGAGATCTCACTCGATTATTTCTAAACTATACAAGATATTGAAAAACTGGTTACTGATCCTGAAAGTGCTTCAAGAGCTCTTTCAAACGGTACCAATAATAGGTTACCGAATAAACTGGATCTATCTGAAAATTCAATGTTTCCAGCTTCCATACTAAATGTATGCCAGACATACATCAGTAACTAGTTTATTGATATCTTGTATAGTTTAGAAATAATCGAGTGATATCACTTATCGTTTTCACCCTGGATAGTGTCAATCCGTCATATTTCGTATTGGCCAATGTAAAGACGGGAACGACACGGGTCATTCAGTGTGTGTGAGGATGATGAGAATGTATGTTAAGGTATTAATTGTTAAGAACTACAGATTACATTATGTAAGTGAACTGTTTATGAAAATATATTGAGAATCAATCTCGATTTTTGCATTTTGATTTTACGTATTATGGCATAATAATCAGTATCATTAGATGTTCAATGAGAAGGCATAAACGGAAGGTTTATTTTCGAAAGTGGCAGTAAATATAATTAAATAATACTGTTTAAAAAGTTAGTATTTATACGTCGACTTCGTAACTTCCATGGTGATAGTTTTCTAAAAATAGTTGTTCTTTTCTGATATTTGTGTTCTCTAATAAGAATGTAATTTACTTAATTAACTGTCATGGCAGTCTACGTGTTAACTGATATAAGTTAACTAGAAAAATAGATTTTTAAAAATCTGCTATGCTACTCATATGAACTACCAAAAAGTCCTCATCCACAAGCCATGAAAACAGAAAAACTAAATATTATTCATTGGCCCCTCGCCAAATGCCGTCCCCTCTCGATACCAGTTCAAAGCATAATTAAAATCGATGCAACAGCTGTTTCCCGCCATTTTGCCGCGCTTTCGCCATTTTTAGTTCACCTTTTTCGGTCCAATTAGTAAGTTGGGACGGTTTTATTGTCGGCTTAATTTAATAAAGGTCGTTTTAATTATTTTCCGGTCCAGTAATAGAGCCTGTGCCCTGAACTGTTTATGTTGTCAGAACAAGCGGAAGGTGAAATGAATTTCGCCTGGAAGCATTCAATATAATCTACCTAAAGACCTAAACCTAAGGAATAATGATATTATTCTTTGCCTAAGGTTTAAAATCAATAAATTAGACATAGGTATACTAGTAGGATGCTGTGCTCGCTACTGTACCTACCATGGGTAATGAAAGTTGTTAAAAAACTAGGTAACAAGTCAAACATTTTTGTTGCTAAACATATTCTGAGCACAATCAACCATTACAATACTAATCAGGCCTCCCCAGGCAATTAAACTACAGCTCTATCATGGTAATAATATTTCTAAAGACAAAATATCAAGGCAATTGCCGTCTAAAATCCTACCTATTTACGCACAAAGCTACACGCCTCATTCATATTCAGCCATTTTTCTAAGTCGCCCACTGCGGGTGGTTTGTTGTCACTAGAGCTTTGCTTCGCTTATTGCGGGATAATCTCCCCGTCCCCCCTCTAGGGGAAATTGGCCAATCCTGTTTGTCATCGGGGACTGCAGATGGGGCTAGTTCTGAGCTATAACTGAGGAACTTGTCTCATTGTAGACGTTCCTAGCACACCTTATGAGGCAACTTCGTAGGTTTCAAAGTTGGTACTAAAAGCATTTCTGTGCAGTGCCGTAACTAGCCTTTTATGCGCCCGGTGCGAGCTTTCAAAACTGCGCCCTTGAAAAATGCTTGGTCTGGTCATTTCTGCGCCCCTCCAGGGTCTGCGCCCTGTGTCTGGGCACCGCTGGCACCGCCCTAGTTACGGCACTGTTTCTGTGTGATCTGGAAAGGGAGTCATTGGTGTATCTAGGTATATTTCTGCAGGTGACCTAGCCAATTGGTCTTGTTTTATTTTATCTTATTGTCCTAATTAAATTTGCCCCATTTGGGAATAAAATCCGACAGCCAGTGGTGGTGGGGTGTAGGTTGAATTGCTGATAAATACCTAATTTTATCATCAGTGATGATTTTAATTGTGTAATTATTTCAAGATGGCACAAATAAACCTCTTAAAGAGGCTTGATTGCCATTAAACAAAAGAGGAAGTAGATTAATTCAAAAGAGTTCATTCTTCTCACTTAATATTAAAATTTTTTTACTCAAGTTGTAGCAAAGGCTGCTTCGTTTCCTAAGTATTTTGTGAAGTTCTTTGTTCTCGAAGATAAATGAATAAACTTCATATTTCTCGAGCAATAGCTGGAGTGTTGCAAGTAACATAATGCAATCAAACCCTGAACTCCGACGTCGCTAATAAACCGAACGCTGCAATAACCGGCAAACATCTCCGGACAGGGTGACCAGTTCCAAAAGTAAATCCGGACGGACTTATAAACACTCCTAAGTCCTTTAAAGCGGTTTTATTTCATTTAGAGCTGAAGTCTCCAAACTGTTTTCTCGTAGATTATAGTTACTTGAAGTTTAAACGGTTTCGGGTGTTGTTTTTCAAATCCATCTGTTCCTTTGCATGATAATTTTCTCTGTGATTGAAAACTAGACCATGCCACTATCGTTAACCTTCTATTGTAATCCATGTACCCCAATAAATGTCTCCACTCAAACCTTGCAGGTCACAATCAATCCATTAAGAGCTACAACACAAATAAAATTAAAAATTGTAACAGCGCACGTCTAATCTTTCCAGAGTTTAATCTTATTTATTGCAAAGTCAATAGCAATTTATTATTGTACCGTCAGAAAAGGGACAGTCTCGTTTTATCCGTACGCCTGGCTACCCCATACCCGGAGCAGTCGATCGGAACTTAAGTTAACAAGAAAAATGCCCGCGCCCCAGCTCGAGTGTTCAGTAATTGCTGGCAATGTAACAATATTGTACTGAGCTACTCTATGTTAAGTTACAAGGGCAGATCGTCAAAATTATTTATATATCTTTTGTATACAGGGTGGAAACGATAAGTGATCTCACTCGATTATTTATAAACTATACAAGATATCCAAAAACTGGTTACTGATCCTGAAAGTGCTTTATGAGCTCTATCCAACGGTACCAATAATAGGTTACCAAATAAACTGGATCTATCCGAATATTCAATGTTTCCGGCTTACATACATTTAGTAAAACCACATAATATTAAAAACTATACAAGATATCCAAAAACTGGTTACTGATCCTGAAAGTGCTTCACGAGCTCTATCCAACGGTTTAGAAATAATCGAGTGAGATCACTTATCGTTTCCACCCTGTATTTTAGTACATACTATGCGCACACAGATTTAGACAAAGTCACTAATCTATTATTTATCACTGAGTTCTTTCTTTCGTTACTTTTACGTTGTTTTGTATCAGTGTTTGCCTTGTTGTGCCTTCGCGTCGTCCTACTTATCTTTGTTAATAATATGGGGGCATTTTTGTCGATAAAATTGATATCACAACACCGCCTTAAATTATCGCTAGCCCTATCCCAAACACACTGTATAATTTTAATGCATTAGTTAACACCAAAATTTAATAAAAAAAATAGTATCAAGATATTTTATCTTATTACTAGTATAGCGCGGACTGTAGTTACAACTTTAACTACTTTTTCTAACATCTCAAAGAACAAAAGTTAACAAAAGTGCTCCTCGCAGAGTGCAGTACACGTCTATTACCGGGCTGCTTCCTTAGTTAACAATAACAACAAGCACCGCAGTTAACACATTTAACCGCGACTTTAACAGCTGCAGTTTAATGACAAAACTTCGTTGCCAATTGCACGGCGCCGTTATAATAACTAACTTGAACTCCTAGAAGTTACTTGTTGATACATCTTTCCTAGTGTTCTATCTTGCTCTTGAACAAGTATTAACTTAACATAGTCGATGTAGATAGTGCTTAATGAGTTTTGTTCAGATTATTTTCTTTGTTTTTCTTAACTACCCGCATTTTCTCTAATATTTGCCTGGTACCATCCGCTGCTGTCTAAATTAGTCTGCGAATTATTGTCGCTCACTCCGGACGGGCGTCGCGTTAACAAGTTTTTTTCACTATTTACCGTATCTGATCGGCATATTCTTGTGGACATCAAGATTCTGCCGAAATACGGTGGCATCTTATGTATTGTAATAAGACTAACTTATAGTGTTATCGACCGTAGTTAAACTAATATTGTAAAGTGTGTGTGTTTGTGAGATATACCTATCTGTCTCTATGATATGTTGTTTGTAAATGGACATGATCTAGTTGGTTCTTCAATATTATCCGTAACTAGAACAGGTGAGTAACCTATACTGTAAGTAAGTACCTAGTTTAATTTGATTCGTTATCCCCATTCTTTCATATTCTTATATTATGCATTTTTTATCAATATGAATGTTAACCCGTCCGACTACCTACTCTTTCATCAATCTAGTCAATGAATACCGAAATCCATTGAAGAAATTGAAAGTTGGAAAAGCACAATTAAGGTTGTAGTTAAAGCTCAGCTTCATTTGCGGCTAGTTAAGTTTGAAGCTGAAACAGTTAATTTAATTGAATCAATCATAGCATTTTGAAAGAGCCCTCAACAAGTTAAATTATCACTTGGCGTCTGTCTACCGATTACGTTGGCAACGTTGTTATAAGCTAGCTTGGAGCAGCTAATTTAAACTGGCCACAGCGGCCCGGACGCCCCGGACGCCCGGACGACCCGGACGGCCCGGACCGCATTATATCCGTCGGCACTGCACTGATTTGTGCTGTTTTGGTGCGAAACCACTGCTTTGGACTTAATAGGGAAATAAAGTGGTAATCAGACGCTTTGGATGAAATCCAGCTTTGGATTTCATCTTGAATCTTAATTAAGTAGTTACTCTTTATTAAAGCCTGGTACATCAATAGGTACCTACCTACTTTTGTGGGACTCTAAACTGTAGGTACTTAGTACTAAAGGTG